TTAATGCTTAGTTTTTGTGATATTTCACCGTCCCAACATTTTTTCAATGCTTAGTTTTTGTGATATTTCACCGTCCCAACATTTTTTCAATGCTTAGTTTTTGTGATATTTCACCGTCCCAATACTTTTTATGCACCCTGTATATTCCAAATAAAATAAAGGATATTTTGGAAACAAAACGAGCGTTTTTCTTACGTGACCCAGTGTGTTCAGTATATAATAGCAGACAGACAACTAGCGGTTATCGAGATAAACCAGAATGCTTCTCTGACATACAGGGTGTCCTATTTTAAAACCTCCACGCAAATATCTCTTCTGAATGATCAAATTTTCACAAAAAATTTTTTAGATAAAAGTTGTTGGATTTAGAAGGGGCTATCTGATGACGACCTTGATCTTGACCTTGGAGGTCATTTTGAAAGTTATTTAAAGGTCAACCTCGTTTTTTTATATGGAAACCCTTATCTTTTACTGCAGATTTGTATTCTACCTAGAAAATTAAGAAAGTTTTATTCTTGATGTTTTTTCGATATTCCGCCTTCATCAGGCTGAAAATACTGTTTAAACATCGCTAAAATGATTTTTTCGAAGAATGTTTTCGACCTCTTACAAGGGGAGGACGCATCGACCGGGTAACGATTTGGAACGAAACTTACGGAGTTAATAGTACTTGACTACTAATAACTCATGGTAATAGCATACGACGCAATATCTCTTCGTTTTCGAGAAAAAACGGTCTAAAGAAAAGAGCCAACAAAGTGTACGAGTTAGTAAGAAGGGTATTCAACGAAGCGGCGTAGCGCAGCAGCGATGGTAACGGACTACCGAGTTGACGGCTGAGGTTCGATCCCTGCTGTATGGTTTTTTATTCTGTAAGCATAAAAATGAAACAGAAAACATTAATAAATAATAAAACTGCGTTTCTTAAATATATTAGTGTTTGTTAAATATATTATTAATGATTTAAATTACAAAAAAACTGTAAATTTTATCTATGAAATATTAGGTTGGGGAAAAAGAAATCCATTATTTTTTCGTTTATTTCAAGGCTTTATTTAACATAATTAGGATTGTTCGATTTTGGTCAAATAAGCACCGTTTTGTTCTACAATTTGTCGCCATTTTAAAGGTAATTTCATGATCCCTCTTTCATAGAAGCCCTGATCCTTATTTGCAAAAAACTCGACTAAGCGATTTTCACAGTCTTCTCTTGAGGTCAATTTCTTACCATTTTACAAGTTTTGCAATGACAAAAATAGATGGTAATCGCTTGGTGCCAGGTCCGGACTATAAGGTGGATGCATCAAAACTTCCCAACCAAGCTCCCGGAGTTTCTGATGAGTCACTATAGACGTATGTGGCCTGGCATTGTCCTAATGAAAAACAATTCCTCTCCTATTGACCAATTCTGGCCGCTTCTGGTCGATCGCTGGCTTCAAACGGTCCAATTGTTGACAACAGAGGTCCGAATTTAATGTTTGGCCATATAAAAGCAGCTCATGGTGGATGATTCCTTTATAATCCCACCATACACTCAGCAAAACCTTCCTGGCCGTTAATCCTGGTTTGGCCACCGTTTAAGCCGTTTCACTGCGCTTTGATCACGATCGTTTTCGCATAATTGTCGTATGTAATCCATTTCTCATCCCCAATCACCATCCGTTTCAGAAATGGCTCGATTTCATTCCGTTTGATCAAGGTTTCGCAGATTGAAATTCAGTCCATCATGTTTTTTTGCGTCAATTCGTGTGGCACCCAAACATCGAGCTTTTTTTTGAATCCAGCTTTATGCAAATGGTTTAAAATTGTTTTGTGGTCGATCTTCAACTCCTGGGCGATACTAACTGCTAACATGCCGGTCTACTTTGATCATTTCCATAATTTTATTGACATTTTCGACAACGGGCCCAACTGTGTGAGATGCATCTTTAACATCAAAATTACCGGAATGGAATCGACGAAACCAAAATTGCGTGTGATTGGCTGTGACAGTATCGGGATAAACACCATTCACAATTTCAGCTGCCTGGCTTGCATTTTCGCCTTTATCGAAGCAAAATTTTAAAATATACCGAATTTTCTCTTTGTTTACATACATCTTTTACGTGCTATAACTCACAACTTAATCGACAAATCACAAAATCGTTAAAGAATTTTTTTAGTACGGAATGTCACTTTTCCAACGAGTATAAATATTAACCTATGCGATTAATACATCACGTGATATATACCACTAAAGCCATCTAGCGGAAAAATAATGGATTTCTTTTTCCCCAACCTAATAGATAGTGTATGAGAAAATTTTTATATAATAATTGCAATGGAAATTGGAATAAAAATATTGTTATGAAATATATAGGAGTGCTATTAACCCTTTGCGGTCGATGCCGCCATAATGGCGGCATTCGCAAGTCGTCGTAGAAGTCGGTGCCGCCAGGCTGGCATTCATGATCGCCTGACATGCGGCACGGCAAACGAGGCTGGCGATAATAAAAGAAAACTATCCCCTCGATGCTAAATTCAAATGTTTAGATCAACTTACAGATATCAATACTTATCGATCTCTTCGAAATCGGCCGACCGCAAAGGGTTAAACTAGTATGAGATAATCTTATATCGTATATATAAAATATTAGTTTCTGTTACAACTCTCTATGTTGTGTTGAAACTCTATCTCTTCTAGCAATCCCCTCCAAATACTTCCTTTGTGTCATTCTAAACGATCGTTAAGAATGACGAAATGATTCGAGCATCGAAACAGTCGTCAGTAGAGTAAGCAGCAGTGTGCGTTTACTAGTGATACAGAGCAGTTCGGTGATCATATTTAAATTACATATATTATAACAATGTCAGAGAATCCTTCAACAAGCAAAATAGTTGATGTAGAATCGCTAGAAGAAAGATCTTTTGAAAATGAAGATTTTAAAGGTGAATTCACTAATGCTCTCGTATATGCGAATTCTATTTACAAGAGTAATGAATTATTATCGAAAAATCCTCCAGCGAAAATATAATATATTTTTATTTCTATTTCCATTGCAATTATTATATAAAAATTTTCTCATACACTATATATTTTATAGATAAGATTTACGGTTTTTTTGCAATTTAAATCATTGATAATATATTTAACAAACACTAATATATTTAAGAAACGCAGTTTTATTACTTATTAATATTTTCTGTTTCATTTTTATGCTTATAGAATAAAAAAAACCATACAACAAGGATCGAACCTCAGCCGTCAACTCGGTAGTCCATTACCTTCACTGCTGCGCTACGTCGCTTCGTTGAATACCCTTCTTACTAACTCGTACACTGTGTTGGCTCTTTTCTTTAGACCGTTTTTTTCTTGAAAACGAAGAGATATTACGTCGTATGCTATTACCATGAGTTATTAGTAGTCAAATACTATTAATTCCGTAAGTTTCGTTCCAAACCGTTTTCCGGTCGATGCGTCCTCCCCTTGTTAGTATTAAGACAAAATCGGGGTTAGATCCGGCTCATTAAAACAAGTTTGGAGAATTTCACGTTCAGATGTGTACCAACCAATATTATGGGGTCCAAGTGACTCTTAGAGGTCACTTCAAGGTCAACTTCGCTATTCGAATGAATTCACTAAAACAACCTCAAAAATAGGATCGACAGCAGATATTATTTCAAATAAAAGTTACTGAGTTCAGGAGAGAGTCATCTGATGATGACCTTGACCTTGGGGTTTCAAGGTCATTTGAAGATCAATTTGAAAGTTTTAATAGGAAACTCTCCTCTTTGAGTTTAAAAATGAAGAAAATTCCATATTCTGATATGTACATATGGATGTCATGAGTATTTTGTATGGAGAATTATCTGTACATCAGTATTAAATCTATATGGAGTGAACAAATACGAAAGTTATTACTGTAGAGTACGACAATTTTGATTCGTTTCTTTAGGCTTATGCAGAAAGAAATTTTTTTGTACCTTACTAGGATCACTTGGACCCGATAACATGGATACACGTCTGAACGTGAAATTTTCCAAACTTGCTTTAACTGACCAGATCTACTCCTGATTTTGCCTTAACACTAACAAGGAGATGGCAAGACATGTAAAATAATAATTGAATGAGTTATATTTTATTCGAATGGAGGGTTGAGTACATAAAAATCATAAAAGAGTTTGTATGCATGGGCCTTCGTTTGTGAGAAATTTTCAATTAAAAAAATAGCTACATATTAAATGTAGTAACTTGGAATCAATAAGCGTGAAGCTTGATAGCTGCAGAAGCTAAGGCGCGCGCTAGTATTCTGTCGTCTATGTCCGAGGAGTGTTCGAGTCCTCGCAGTGCCAACTTTTTTTTTATAATATTATGTATTACTATATTTTATATTTTTAATATTTTTATTGTTTTTCGTAGAACAAAAATATAATATACACAAATACAATAACATCTGTCTTATTATATAAAAAATAACAAGAATAAACGTTTTCATTATTTATTATAAAATTCAATTTTATAATCAATAATTTATTCTTGTTATTTTTTATGTAATAAGACAGATATTATTGTATATGTGTGCATTATATTTTTGTCCTACAAAAAATAATAAAAATATAAAATATATAATATAAAATATAAATATATAATACATAATATTATAAAAAAAAAGTTGGCACTGCGAGAACTCCAACACAGGGGCTGAACACTTATATGTATGACCTTGGACCGAATTTAGTTCCAATGTTACATAGCCCAGATGGCGCTAGCATCGACACTAAACAATGAAAAGAGTAATATACGTGAGCGATTAATGCGTCACAAACAATTGAACTGTAGCTCTATTCTTTGTAGCTGCACTGGTGAACTAGTGCAATAAGTTAAAGTGAGACAAAATATACTTGTCTCACTCAAACTTATATTAGCGTGCAAATTTACCAGTACAGCTCGAAGGAACAGAGGCTGTATTAATCGCTTTAAGAAAAGTGAACGTTAATATTATCAATATTCGTCGTGAAGTTCTTCAATAGTCCACCAGGTAATTATTTATGTCTGATATTATTTATAAAATGAATTACTTCTAGTTATGATAAAAAATATATTATATAAAGCATATGAAATGTAGGCATTGTATTATTTTAGTTATCATGAAGCAGGCTTGCGTCGTACCTGGTTGCACATCGAATACACGGACCCCATCGCACCACTTTCCTAAAGATCCTACTCGACGCTTATTGTGGGCAAGAAATATTAAATTGCAAAATATTGAACATGTTATAAGTGAACGAAAGAATGAAATACGCATTTGCTACAAACATTTCAGAGAAGAGGATTATATATATTCAATCCATCGAAGAAAATTGAAAGCTATGAAAATGATGCCATACCTCATCATAATATACCTCAAATTAAATGTGTAGCAGCAAATAATAATATAAATTATAATCCAGCTTCACTGTCGATATGCAACGTTGATTTTAAACCAGATGTGATTGCACTCGAGTTGCCGCAGCCACAAAGTGTTAACATCAGACATGCAACATATTTGCAAGAGGTAAATGTTGAAATATATTATTTATTATATCTTTATAATTTATATTATTCTTAATAATCTGTATTATTCTTAATTTCTATATTATGAAATGAACGACAATATGTAATGTTGAAACGTTGTTATAGCATGACATGGATAATTCAGAAACAACTGAAGAAATGTCAAGTACAGTACAGCAAGTGCAACATATTAAGAACGAGGCTACAAATGTCACAGATGAAAAACATGTACAACAAGAGCAGGATTGTTGTTTATAATAAATGTGTATAAAATGTTTGTACCAGTATGTAATCAGTTTCAAATTTCAGGAAACATTGAGCAGTCCAAACATTATTGAAGGGCAACACAAATGTAATGATACATATGTATCTCCAAAGAAGTTACTATCAAGTTATGCAAGAGCATCAGAGCATTTTAGTCTAAGAGCAGCTCGATTGTATAACATTGCAAGACATCTTGTAAAAAGAAATACATATAGAAAGGCACAAAGTATGAAGATGAGAAAGCTTTTAAAAAGTCAAGGAATAATGAATTCAAACTTTGTCGAACAATATGCAGGACTGTCAAAAACGCAACGAATTTTAATTGAGATGCAGTTACGGACTGCCCAACAGCGATTGCAAGTAAGTATAAATATATAAATAAGATAAATATATAAATAAGATATAACTAATAGAAAAATATGTTTTACGTGAATAATGAGAGTAATGGAAATAACAATAATCAAAGCAGAAATCGCGATGACGTGAAAATGATTTAAAAATATGTGGAAATAATGGAATAAATCATTGTTCAATCATAATTCGATTATTTTCTAGTTATTTTATAAGGGAATAATAACAATGTTTTATCATACAGAATCCAAACACGTACAAATCAGTCGGTGTAGTACGTGTTACTCAGTCGTCCAGTAATTGTCATGTATCAATGGTAATGTTTCATAATGTATTTTTTTGCTTTTGTTTTCAGAATATTGCACTTGTTATAAACTCATATATGCATGATTTTGTACATGTCTCTTTCATATTTCTTTGATAGATATTTTTATATACAATTTTTATTTATTAAATATTTTACATTTTTAAAGCATGTATATTTCAGATTTGAATGTTTATTGCATTCATCTTTCGTATTGTGCTTAAATAATACGTGGCCACAATATTTAATAAAAATTATGGTAAAATAAGTAATTTTTAATTATTTTTTACTTAATTAATGTGTAAGAAATTAATTCTTTTAAAAGTAAGGAATTGTAACAATATTTCGTGCTTTATAATGTATAAAAATTTATGGTTCATATGTTATGCTGTAAATGCATAATACAATTTCAGTTTGTATTAATAATCAATATTGATGGCTATTACTAATCATTGTTGTGTGTGACATTGAAATAAAATTAAGAGTAAAATTTAAATTGTGATATTGTTTTTAGGCCAGACGATATACTGTACAGGAAAAGATCCTCGCGTTATCACTTATTAAACGTTCCCCTGCATGTTATTCATTATTAGAAAAAATTTGTAATATGCCTAGCAAAAAAACGTTACAGCGTTTATTACAAAAAATAACAATAAGACCTGGCATATGCAACATAATAATAACATATTTACGCAAAAAAGTTAATACGTTGAATAACAAAGACAGATATTGTGTACTCATGTGGGATGAGATGGCTTTAATGCCACATATACAATACGACTCAAAATACGACGTAATTACTGGTTTCGAAGATTGGGGAATGAGAAGAAGCAATAAATTTGCAGACCATGCATTAGTTTTTATGATACGAGAGTTATACAGTGGCTAGATAATGCCAGTTTTTTTCGGATATTGTGAAAATCTTACAAAAACACCGCAATTAATGCGTTGCATTAAAAAAGTCATAAGTATCGTACACCAAACTGGGTTTCATATTGTTGCCACAGTTTGCGATCAGGGAACTGCAAACGTTGCAGCAATAAATATGCTTTTAAAAGATACTGCACGGGATGTATGGAAAGAGGGGACAGAATGTCGTATGTAAACTTACATATACATATGTATATTGTACAATAAAAACACAAATATAAAGACACATATTTATGTGTAATTAAAATTTAAATATAAAATGTTCTTCTATAGGTTATGCATTCCAAATAGGTAGTCAAAAAATTATACCATTTTATGATCCTCCTTATCTGATCAAAGGTGTACGTAACAATTTAGTGACTAAAGATTTAGAAATTAATATATCATCTACAAGCAAAAGCAGACAGTTCGCATCATGGAAAACGACTGAATTAGCGTATAAAATAGATATAAACATTAATAATTTAAATCATTTATTGCCTAAAATTACGGAGGAACATGTCATTCCAAGAAAAATTAAAAAAATGAGAGTCAAAAATGCTGTACAAATTTTTAGTAATACTCTCTCCGCTTACATTCGCCTGCTTTCCCAAATGCAAGGTACACATAAGTTGTATCAGTTGATTCATATAAGTAAAGAATAAATGAAGCACATCCTACATGACAGAAAGTTCCAAAAGAATTCAGTTGTATGTCACTAATTTTGACTATATTTCAGATGCAAAAACAATTATTTTCTAATAATTCTTCAGAAAAGAATTGTTTTTACATCAGATGATAGAGTAAAAATTGATGACATACGTGAATTCTTCGGAACTCTGTGCCATGTGGGATTACTTTTGCACGTTTTGAAACGTTTTGCACTTTTCAATTCATATTTAATTCTTGACATACTTTTTTAGGGCATACAGTAAACACTGATATTTGGACCTATAAGTATACAAGAAGAAGCACTTGCAACGGCTGACGTGCTTTACTTTTTTAATACATTATTTGATTCAGTAAATGGACATACGGCAAAGATGGAAGCTCCTTTACGAGTAATGGTTGTAGAAAATAGTGGCCATCACGATTTTTGGAAAGATGCTCTGCAATATCTTAAAAAAATGAGATACGTACATCCGGTTACAAAAAAACCATTGAAAGGATCTGTATGCCTCCAAAATTGGATGAAAAGTATTAATTCTTTCCAACATTTATGGACAGAATTGCGAGGAAAAGGTTTCAAGAAATTCAATCCACGTTATATCAATCAGGATCCTCTTGAAAATTTTTTCGGATCTATACGCTCCGTAGGCCATAGAAATATTAAGCCTACGTGTACTACTTTCTGTGGAGCATATAAGGTTTTGCTTATTAATAATATATCATCACGGCATACAATTGGACAAAATTGCGAAGACATTTGCAATGGGAATCTATTATTCTCTTTAAAAGATTTAATCTCTGCAGCAAAAGAAGATGACATCTACATGGATGAAGTTGAAGATGAATATGTTCATATCATAGAAAGTCATCCAGAAGAAAGAAATGAAAGCGTGCATGACATACACGATACAAGTTCATATCATGTATTGATAAAGAATATCTTAGGAAAAAAATCATTCCAAGACTATGCTGCATGCAGAAATATAACAGACTATGCAGAATTGAAAAAAGTATTACAGAATGCAGAGAGTTTGATAAAAACATACATGTATAAATTTTATTACAAATATAATATTGGACATTATATCAAACGAGAAATAGAAGGAAAGGTAGACTGCATTTTTATACAATGTACATAACATTATGTCGAACTGAAGACGGCAATATTTTCTGCGATTATTACCACATGTCTGAAGTAATTTTGTACAATAATAAATAGGTGCCTCAATGGTAAATATACACCTATAAAAAAACATTCTGTCTTCGTATCTGTACAGGCCAAATACCAGACCAGGATAAAATCTAAACTATCGAAAAATGTATAAGCTATAATTACACTGATATATTATAATATTTAATTTTTTTATATATAATTAAAATAAACGTATTGTTAAATGTATATTACATTATAATATTAATATTTAAATATTAATATTAATATAGCATAGTATAGTATTATGTGGTAATTGTTTTATTTAAAATAATGTATGATATATGTTAATATGTATGATATATGTTAATAATTGGATGTCTAAATGAACCATTTAGACATTTTATTGTAATTTTACTTATTTGCTGCTTACGTTCATGATTTAATTTCATTTATGTCCTTTTACTTATAGGTCTGTTTTTTATTGCTGCACTGCTGAACTGGTGCAATAAATTAGAATGAGACAAGTATTATTTATCTCACTTTAACTTACTGCACCAGTTCTGCAGTGTAGCAATAAAAAACAGATACCATCACAAAAAATATTGACTTTATATAACTATATATATGCATATTTCGATATATACCTCTTTGAAGTATGCAGGACCAAATCGGCAAAATCAAAACGCACCTATTAAACTTTTTAGTACTTATTTTGTGCTAATTTGTGCTACTAATAAAAATTTTGTACTTCGTGCCGTTTTGAAAAAAATCGTGGCGCTGCTACCTTCATATGAAGCCAGCAGGACCACAACAAAAAATAATTAAAAATTAAAATATTTAATTTTTATGATGATTTTGAAATTTCCAAAAATCACCAAGTTAACAAAAGTCAGGGCACTATTGTAAGAATATATTCTTCGGACCAAGTATAGCAAAAAGGTCTAGTATCATTTTTTCTCCCGACACATAGCGAGATATTGTGAACTAAATATTGAAAAAGTTATCAAGTTTTTCTTAAATATCTCAAAAAATATTAGGCAAGTAAAAAAATGTTTCAGACAAAAGTTGTTTAAATTAATTGGTAGAAAAAGACGATATAATAAAAAATTAGGGTTTCTATTTAAGAAAAGTAATAATCAATGAATATCTCGAAAGTGACGCCATCTGTAAACAAAATGATATAGTCGTTTCATATCTTCTTTGAAACTGTAAACTTTTGTCTAAAACATTTTTCTTTAAAATGCTTAGTTTGCGAGATATTTCACCGTCCCGGTACTTTTTATACACTCTGTATGTATATAAAATAAACATATATAAAACTATATTAAAAAATAACGTTATGTGAGTCTTAAAATCCTTCCCACTATAGGCGTAATTTTCGTGGCCATTTCCTTAATTAGTATTTCTTAATTAGTTTTTCCATATTTTCTTAATTAGTATTTTTTAACTATTTTTAGATACTCTTTTTTTAAGATTGTAATAAAAAATAAAAAAGATTTAAATTTTAGAGAAACTTCTTTACATTATGCAGGATGTATTGTATATTTTTTATACATTAAATGAAACCAAATAATTCTACAATATTTTACTACTTATTACTACTTACTGCCATCTTCCTGATTGCTTGGTGGCTGAATCAGAGAATCAAAGCTCACATTTTCATAGAACTCGATGCCGAGAATCAAAGCAACTTTTAACAAGATACATTGCAGCTGACGAATACTGATATGATCAATAGAACCGGCACAAAATTTTCCAAAGAACTTCTTTGCACCTAAACCTCGTAGATCCTGAATGACGAAAGGCCATAGATGTAAAACATTGTTTCTAGACATCCGGTCTCTTTTCTCTATAACAACAACTTTAGCACCTAATAATTGTGCCTCTATAGCTGATCGCAAACCACATGGCCCTCCACCGATAATAAGGACCTAAAAACAAACGACAAAAAAATTCATAACATTTTGCAATATTATATATTCAAAATAGAATTGACTACTTGATTTGTAATAACGCGTTACACAGATAAAAACATACCGAATAAAATTTGACTACGTGACATCAAGCGGTTTCTTTATCCTTCAACATTTGTTTAAATTAAATTAAGTTAGATTATATGTAATATATATAGGATATTCCAGAAGTCGAAACTTCAATTTTGTCAACCAAAGCAATTTGGAAACAATCTTTTCTTAGAAAAAAGTATCGAGAAGTTGTTGTTCACGGGAGTTTTTCAATGTTTTAATCGCTTAAATCGATGAGTTGTTATTAGTAGTGTTCAGCAATTACTATTTATCCTGAATTTACATCTAATAGATCACTCTATTATGTTCCACTAGATACACAGTAATATCTTCTTAGCTTAAATATCAGGTTTGGCAGTTGATGTTATAGAATCGCTAAAGTCTACTCATAACTCTTTTATAATATTCTTTTTACATAACTTATCGATAATATTCATCTTATATTAACTGTCATAATTTGAAACAAAAAATCTTGTTCGCGTGTGCCCAAGAATTCAAATAAAAGCAAACCAAGTGCCGAAATACTCTTATCCGAAGGATTGGAGCCATTGCTAGTTGACGAATTTAGCTGGCACGACTCGGGTTGTAAGGCCGAGCCGATAACTTAAAATTGATATAAACTTGAATAATTTTAATTCTGCCTGAGCAACTTAGAAATAATGAAGCTGGAACTTCACTGAAATGCCAACTGTTCAAGGACGCTGCAATAATATTAATAAAAAATTCGAGTTTTGAAAATGAATTACCAGTTCCACATTGGTCCATGCTTCTATTTTTTATTTTCAGTTAACTAAACAATTTTTGTTTCTTATATCTGGCCAATTATAAAATAGATTAAAAAAGAATAGAAAATAATAAACTTACCCTCGTATTTTGACATGCTTTACCGCGATTATAACATTTATGACTGGCTCGCTGATCGAATTTCTTCCACAACGCTTGCGCTTTCCATGATCGCAGCTTCGTCTTTAATTTCGGATAAAACTGATTAATAACGTTTGGTCGGATTTTTAATAATTCACATAAATGTCTGTAATAGCCTAGAATGGATTTCAACGTAGTTGCATTGCAAAACTGATCGAACACTTCGTTAGCTAACGCCACTTCTGGTGAATTAGCTGCTTGCTTTCTGCTCATTTGATGTTGATCCATTATTCTGATTCTTGATTACCAGTTTCGTAAGCCAATTAATTCGTCAATTCCTCATCACCTGCAAACATGTATCTTTATTTAATCTATGTATTTCGTCTTAAACATCGCGTAGTTAGAGTTGTGCTCCTCTATCACTGTACATATTACTAGGATACAGTTCATATATGTGTGCTTGTATAAAAGAAAAAGGAGCGTTACTTAGAAAAATTTTATTTAATTGTTATTATTTTATTAAACATTTCGTAAATAAAAATAATTCTAAACCTTGTAATTTGGTAATTAATAATCGCGCAGTACATTTAGTGAGAGCTAGTTAAACAACACCTTATATACGGTATGTGTAAAAAAACGGAACTGATGCTATATAAAGAATAAAATCAGGCAATATATTAGAGACACCCATAAATAATCAATTATTTCAAAATGAGGTATGTATATAAATCTAAATTTTTTATTATTTATTTAATAAATTATATAGTATAGATATTATTGTAAACAGTTTGCGGATAAACTCCGTCGGGACCGCAGAATATTAAATAGAACCGTTAGATAATCAAGAACGAGTTAATCGAGGAACATAAACAGATCTCACAAGGGGAGGACGCATCGACTGGGAAACAGTTTGGAACGAAATTTACGGAGTTAATAGTACTTGACTACTAATAACTCATGGTAATAGCATACGATGCAATACCTCTTCGTTTTCGAGAAAAAACAGTCTAAAGAAAAGAGCCAACAAAGTGTACGAGTTAGTAAGAAGGGTATTCAACGAAGCGGCGCAGTGGGCAAAACGACTCATCTTTTGGACAAAAATTTACTGACAGTACAATTTTCAACCAATTTCAAAACTTCAAACTTTTTTTTAATTTACTCATGAAACATTGCTCTACAACGTGGTATTGCGGTATTGATAAAAAAAAGTTTAAATTCAAAATGGCAGATAGAAAATGCGTGACGAAAATATTGACTTCCTGTCAAATGATACTTTTCTCTTATAATATTAAATATATTTACACTGAAATTGTTCCTTGAGTCGTTAAACATAAATTTGAAATCAAACTTAAAATTAAAAAATCAAAATAACATTTATTATAAAAGTGAAAAACGTCGAAACTTTACAAGATTTATTGGATTTATAGAAGAAAGAATATTATGCACTTGGCACATAATTATTTAAAAATTTTTCATATTTTAATATTAAATTTGTACAAAATAGCAAAATTTTGTTATATTGCTTTATAACTGCTTAGATAATAAAACAATATTTAAGCCCTTATACCATGTCAAGGTATTTGCCATTATAAGGGTACTGTTTCTTTGTTTCTTTTTATTTTTTTGTTTCTTTTCAATTTTTTAAACTTTTTTGTTTATTTTAAATGTTTGTTATATTTGTTTGAATTTTTCTACTTACATTTTAGATTAATATTTTTATGTTTTAAACGCCATTTGTGTATGTATGTGAGTGTGTGTGCCGAATTATTGCACATAGCATTAAACGCTATTTGTGTGTGTGTATATGCCGAATTATTGCACATAGCATTAAAATCAGTCGTACAACTTTTTAATGCTTTTTTTTAATGCTTTATAGAATAATTCAGCACACATACACACACATACACACGCACACGCACACGCACGCATGCACGCACGCACGCACGCACGCACGCACGCACGCACGCACGCACGCACGCACATACACACACACACACAAACAAATGGCGTTTAAAACATAAAGATATTATTTTAATAAAATAATAAAATATACACAAATAGCATTTAAAATATAAAAATATTAACCTACAATGTAAGTAGAAAAATTTCAAACATATATATATAACATAAACATTTAAAATAAACAAAAACGTTTAAAAAATTGAAAAAAAGAAACAAAAAAATAAAAAGAAACAAAAAAACAGTTATAATGGCCCTTATAATTACCTATAATTACCCCTATAATTACCTTTATAATGGCAAATACCTTGACGTGGTATAAGGGCTTAAATATTGTTATATTATATAAGCAGTTATAAAGCAATATAACAAAATTCTGCTATTTTGTATAAATTTGATATTAAAATATGAAAAATTTTTAAATAATTATGTGCTAAGTGCATAATATTCTTTCTTCTGAAAATCCAATAAATCTTGTAAAGTTTCGACGTTTCTGACTTTTATAATAAATGTTATTTTGATTTTTTAATTATAAGTTTGATCTCAAATTCATGTTGAACGACCTAAAAAACAATTTCAGTGTAAATATATTTAATATTATAAGAGAAAAGTATCATTCGACTGGAATTCAATACTTTCGTCACGCATTTTCTATCCGCCATTTTGAATTTAAGCTTTTTTTCATCAATGCCGGAGTACGTTGTAGAGCAATGTTTCATGAGTAAATTAAAAAAAAATTTTTTTAATCGGTTGAAAATTGCACTGTCGATAAATTTTTGTCCAAAAAATGAGTCGTTTTGCCCACTGTGCGGCGTAGCGCAACTGCAAAGGTAACAGACTACCGAGCTGACGGCTGAAGTTTGATACCTGTTATATGGTTTTTTTTATTCTGTAAGCATAAAAATAAAACAAAAAATATTAATAAATAATAAAACTTCGTTTCTTAAATATATTAGTGTTTGTTAAATATATTATTAATGATTTTAATTGCAAAAAACCGTAAATCTTACCTATACTATACTATATAGTGTATGAGAAAATTTTTATATAATAATTGCAATGGAAATAGGAATAAAAATATTATTATGAAATATATAGGAGTGCTATTAAATTAGTATGAGATAATTTTTCGTAATCTTATATCGTATATATAAAATATTTGTTTCTGTTACAACTCTCTATGTTGTGTTAAAGCTCTTTATCTCTTCTGGCAATTCCCCTCCAAACACTTCCTTTGTGTCATTCTAAACGATTGTTAGAAATGACGAAATGATTCGAGCGTTGGAACAGTCGTCAGTAGAGCAAGCAGCAGTGTGCGTTTACTAGTGATACAGAGCAGTTTCGGTGATATTTAAATTACATATATCATAACAATGTCAGAGAATCCTTCAACAAGCAAAATAGTTGATGTAGAATGCTAGAAGAAAGATCTTTTGAAAATGAAAATTTTAAAGGTGAATTCACTAATGCTCTCGTATATGCGAATTCTATTTACGAGAATAATGAATTATTATCAAAAAATCCTCCAGCGAAAATATAATATATTTCTACTCCTATTTCCATTGCAATTATTATATAAAAATTATCTCATGCACTATATATTTTATAGATAAGATTTACGGTATTTTTGCAATTTAAATCATTAATAATATATTTAACAAACACTAATATATTTAAGAAACGCAGTTTTATTACTTATTAATATTTTCTGTTTCATTTTTATGCTTACAGAATAAAAAAAAACCATACAGCAAGGATCGAACCTCAGCCGTCAGCTCGGTAGTCCGTTACCTTCGCTGCTGCGCTACGCCGCTTCGTTGAATACCCTTCTTACTAACTCATACACTTTGTTGACTCTTTTCTTTAGACCGTTTTTTCTCGAAAACGAAGAGATATTGCGTCGTATGCTATTACCATGAGTTATTAGTAGTCAAGTACTATTAACTTCATAAGTTTCGTTCCAAACCGTTTCCCGGTCGATGCGTCCTCCCCTTGTCAGACAATTAGAATTGGCGACCGAAATCGTTGTTTTGAATGTTAGCTATTGTTCGTGAGTCTTTGATTAGCATGTATTTGACAACATATCATCAATAATTATGTCTCGAATAATATGACGGCTCGTTGTCTTTATCCGCTAGCACATCAGCGTCAACGTGGACCAATAAGAAGCCTCCAGGACGATTCAAAACAAAGATGTAAGAGCAGCAACGAGGAAAAGGACACATTATTTTCGCACATTATTGCACACTTTACTTTATTCGCTTTATGCTTTTGCTTTTCGGCTTTGTTTTTGTCACGATTATTGTATGAGAATAAATACCGTTATCCGTTATCATTAAATTGCTTCGAGTACGTGTCACTTTTCTATTTGTGTGGTCATCCTTGCCGCATTTTTTTTTCGCTTATCGCGGCGGCTTTCTCGACCATCTCTCTGTTTCGCTTACAGCTTAGCCTACACAAACTACACTAAATTGTAATCTATCATTATCCACGACCTTTCGTCACCTCTTTGATAAATTTTGAATTCCTCTGTTATGAAACTGTACTTGGCTGTGATGAAAAATATGATTCAAGGTAAATTGGAACTACTGATATTTCGAAAACTTCCTATTTCTGTAAGAATCCAAAAACAAATGACAATCTAATGACGTAATATCAGGTGAGTATGTATGGTAAAATTTTCCGATCAAGCTGCTGTTTCTTAAGTTATTTTTGCTGCATGATAACATTATTATGTTGCAATATGATGTCTGTATGTGTGTGTGTAAAGAAACTTCAATCTCTAGATGATATAAGTACATGTTGTGACATCTCTAAGCTTCATTCAATGTGTGAAAATATTGGGTTGGCCAATAAGTCCGTGCGGTTTTTCTCGTTAGATAGCTTCAAGGCGCTCTGCTAAGGTTTATCTTCAGTTGAAAGTCTTGAAAACGTATAGTCATTGACAGATGACAATTCAACGTGCATTTAAAAAATATACGTAAATATTACTTGTGTATCTTGTGTGTTTTGCGTCTGAAAATGGATAACTGGAACGAGCATTTTCGGCTTATTAAGCTTTTTTATATTAAAAAGGCAAAAACGCGACGCAAACTTGTAAAAATAATTGTGCAATATATGGTGAGTATATCGTAAAAGAACATATGTGCCAAAAGTAATTTGCGAGATTTTGTTGCGGAGATTTTTCCGTCAAAGACAAACCATGCTTAGGCCGACCAAATGAGATTGACAGCGACAAATTGAAGGTGGTAATCGACATCAATCTACTACACGACAAACACTACACGACAAGGGAGATTGCAGACGTTCTCCCAATATCGAAATCGAGCGTGGAAAATCATCTGCATCAACTTGGTTATGTTAGCCGTCTCGATGTTTGGGTCCCGCACGAACTGAGCGAAGCTCATTTAATCTAATGTATTTCCATCAGCGATTCACTCGGAAAACATGAGAAAAGCGATCCATTTCTGAAGCGTATGGTAACTGACGACAAAAAATGGATCATCTACAATAACATCAAGCGCAGAAGATCGTGAGACAGCGCAGCGAACCGCCAAAAACCACTTCGAAGGGCTTCACCCGAGCAAGATCATGCTTCCAATTTGATTGGAAGGGTGTTGTGTTCTACGAGCTACTTCCGACAGAACGATCAATTCAGATGTATATTGTAGTCAGCTGGATAAATTGAATGCAGCGATCCACGAGAAGCGTCTAGAATTGATGAATCGTAGAAACGTCGTCTTTCACTATGACAACGTTAGGCCGCACACATCTCTACAAACCCGGCAAAAATTAATGGTGCTAAGCTGGGATGTCTTACCACATCCTCCGTATTCTCCAGACATTGCACCTTCAGATTACCATCTGTTCTGCTCCCTTCAAAATTCCTTGAATGAAAACACTTCGTTTGTGAGGAAGCTGTCAAACGACACTTGGAACAGTTTTTTGCCTAGAAAGACAGGAAGTTCTTTGAATGAAGAATTATGAAGCTGCCCGAAAGATGGCAAAAGATAATAGATAACAACGGCCAATACATAATCGATTAAAGTTATTACCTTCTATAAAAATAATCATAGATCATTTATAAGTATAAAACCGCACGGACTTATTGGCCAACCCAATAGTATGCAGAAACATTTATATTCATTAGAAATCGAGACAAAAAAGTACAAAAGTTATATTTTCGCTAATTGACGCTGTTTTACTTCCAAAAAAAAGAAAAACGCAAATAAAAATAGTATATATTATACAAATAAAAAAGTATGTACTATACAGAATGTCTTATTTTGATAGAGCACCTCGATTATCATTGAAGAAAGCAGTCGTAGAGAAAAATGTTTTAGACAAAAATTGTAGAGTTCAGAAGAGGTTATCTGATGGTGATCTTGACCTTGGGGTCAAATTTGGAGATCATTCGAAAGTCAATATAAAAATTTTAAACGGAAACCTCTATTTTTCAGTACATATTCTTGTAGCTCAGCTCAAGAGCTTTCCAAAACACTATAATTAACTATTTTTTTATTCAGTAATTTCCGAGTTACAAGGCTTTGAAACAGTACCGTCGGTGTTACTCGAAGTGTACCACATGGAGGTTGCTCGTTTAGATTTATACCTTTTTTGTCTTGTGTTGTGTGTGTGTGTGTGTGTGTGCGCGTGCGTGGGCGTGTGCGTGTGTGTATTCATTCCAAGGATAAGGTCCCCGTGGCTCGTCAACTCCACGGTATTTCACGACTCCAAACCCTCCTTGTGGCGTGTGCGCGTGTGTGTGTATATATAAAAGAGAAAAAGAGATAGATAAATAGAGAGACAGAGAGAGGATACTGTATTAGTAACGTGTGTGCACATCTCTTGCACGGATTATTTCCTCCATGCCATGACACCGATAAGTCAAGTGAGCAATGTATCTGCAGCTTCTCCCATCTTCAATTAACGCCATAACTGACTTATCGATGTCAGCCATACAACGTGCTTACACTAGGTACTTAGACCAATTCCTTCCAGCGAAGATCCAGTTCGGGACGTCCCCGTATTACCGATGAGAGGGATGACCGATTTATTGTTATAAATTCACTAAAAAATCGTCATCAAACTGCTGTTCAAATTCGAAACAGTTTAAAGGACATCCACCACAATAACTTGTGTGTTAACATTGTTCGGAATCGATTGAGGGAAAACAGCCTTTTTGCACGACCAGCAGGTATACCTTCGCTTACGCGTCACCATCCCGTAGCTCGACTCGATTTTACAGTCAACCATAGATATTAAATGTCTGCAGATTGCAGTAACGTTCTTTTTAGCGATGAGTCCCGTTTTGCTCTGTTCTCTGTAGATGGGCAAAAACAGGTTTACCGTCGAGTTGGGGAACGCTTTGCAGATTGCACAGTGAATGAACGCCACAGCTATAACAGAGACCCTATCATGGTTTGGGCAGGAATATCTGCTCATTCAGATTACATTTTTTCCAGCGAAATATGAACGCAGATGTATACGTAGAAAAAGTATTGATACCCCACGTTATTCCATATGCGCCTTTCATTGGAGAGACTTTCATATTCATGCAAAATAATGCGCGACCACACGTTGCAAGAAGAGTACTGGATTTCTGTAGTCGCCTTCTGTAGAGAAGTAGGCATCAATTTATTCGAATGGCCAGCTATGAGTCCAGACTTAAATCCCATTGAATATCTATAGAACAATTTCGACAGAAAAGTACACAATCATGCATCTGCTCCACAATCATTGCCAGAACTTCGAAGAGTTCTTAAAATTGAATGGAATAACATTACCCAGGTCGAAATTCAAACGGTCATAAGGAGTATGTCCCGTCGCATGGAGGAAGTAATCCGTGCAAGAGGTGAGCACACATGCTAATACAGTATCCTCTCCCTCTCTCTCTCTCTCTCTTTCTCTCTTTTACATACACACACACGCATACACGCTGCAAGAAGGTTTGGAGTGAAATACCGTGAAGTTGACAATCCATGGAGTCCTTATCCTGAGAATGAACACACACACACACACACACACACACACACACACACACACACACACACACACACACACGCACGCACGCACACGCACGCACGCACACGCACGCACACGCGCACGCGCACACGCACACACACACACAGACACAAACGTTTGAAGATGCGGGGCAATTCCGTATCTTCAAACGTTTTCGGCCTACCAGAATGTTTTTTGTCTTGAACGTTGAAATCACCACATTTGAATTGTCGAAACCACGTTTCACATGTTCTTATGGTTGGAGCATGCTCACCGTAAGTCTCTACCAGCAAACGATGACTTTCAGCGGCTTTTTTCTTTTGATTAAACAAGAAAAGTAATGTGTGCCGCAAATGCATGTTTTCAGGCACAAAACTCGACATTTTCAAAAAATTATTAATCTATAACGCTGTTATTTTGGCGGAACGTAACTTGTGTAGTTTTGAGGTTAATCTCAGTAGAATAAAATGACATATGTATCAAATCATAACATTGTATACTTATGGCTAGTGACATCTGTTACAAAAACCGGAAAGTAATTACCGACATACCTGGTATCCCTTTACAAAGTTTCCTCATCTCAGTGATGCAAAGATTAAGGAAGGCATTTTTATTGGGCCTCAAATTAGATTATTTACTAAAGACGAGAAATTTAAAAAAACAATGACTTGTTTAGAAAGAGAAGCTTGGGTTTCATTGAAGAAAGTGATTCTGGGTTTCTTGGGAAACAAAAAAGATTCTAAATATGAAGAATTGGTGAGTAACATGCTTGAAAAGTTTATGAAATTAGGATGCAATATGAATCTAAAGATACATTTTTTGAAAAGTCATCTTGACTACTTCCCCAAATATAGCTTAGGAAGCGTAAGCGAGGAACAAGGGGAAAAATTTCATCAGGATATTAAAGAGATGAAAAAAGATATCAGGGTCGATGGAATATTCATATGTTAGCAGATTACTGTTGGAGTATTAAGCGAGACATTCCTGATGTGGTTCATAGTAAAATGTCCAAGAAACGCTCTTTTGACTCTATTTCTGGATAAATAAAATCTTTTTTTATTAACATTTTCGCTTTTGTCTTCAGTAATTGGATCATCTGGTCAGTGGCTGGGTAGCCTTTTAATCTTGTCTTCAGTGGCTAGATCATCTAACCTTGCCTTCAATGGCTGGATCATCTAGCCTTGCCTTCAGTGGCTGGGCAGCCTTTTAATCTTGCCTTCAGTGGCTGGATCATCTAGCCTTGCCTTCAGTGACTGGGCAGCTTTTTAATCTTGCCTTCAGTGGCTGGATTATCTAGCCTTACCTTCAGTGGTTGGGTAGCATAGTGAAAAACGGCACCTTTTGGCTATTTAAAACTAATTATTTCGAAAACCTGACGTGATAGAAAAATTCTAAGGCCGGATTCGTATTCAGCGGATAAAATTACGTAGAAAATGACCTTTGACATCCAAAACACAAAATCATACAGACCTGTGTAATCGGTTGAATATTGTGAAAAGCAGCATTTTTTGGCTATTTAAACCTGATTATCTCGAAAACTTGACGTGATAGAAAAATTATAAGGCCGGATTCGTATTCAGCGGACAAAATTACGTAGGAAATGACCTTTGAAATCCAAAACGCATAAAGTTTTTGAAATTTTGCAGGCCTGTATAATCAGCAACCCAAGAACATGATTCTACCGAGTCTGATGAAAATCTGTTGAAAATTGGCAGAGCTATTCAGTGCTCATATATGAGTCATTATCAGTTGTGGCATTTCTTTTTCTCGCTCATATATGAGTCAGTACTAGTAAGCTGGTTAAAATTCCTTAGTCATTGATATGACTCAAAGCAATCTTACATGATCATCTTGACATTAGAAAGCTGTATATTTGTTGCATACCACAAAATCTAACGGAAGCCCAAAAACATGGTCAAATGGAACAAAGAAATATAAAAAAATGCTTAAAAAATATGATTACGGCCAATTCAGAGCAATATATGACATCATAACAGGTGATGAATTTTTGATTTACTCCTACAAAGTAGAGAGCAAATAACAACTAAATACACTCATCCAAAAGAACGCGGTACACTTAAAATATGGGAAAAATTTAGCAAAGTTCAAATGCTCATAACTTGGTAAATAATAATGATAGAAAAGTCTGTAAGAAATGAAAATGAAGCTTGGAATTTTTAATTAAAGAATCGCTTTATTTCAATGCAGCGAGAAAAATTTATTGAAAATGACGGATAACAAAGCTAGAGCATGCGAAATGGAAAATGGTCTCCTCTTTAAAATACTTTTTTAATCATTTCGATACGATGATTCTTCGCCGAATAATTCGCATTTAAAGTAAAACACTGTTTTTTTTCAAATGTGAATAATTCGGCGAAAAATCATCGTATCAAAGACTTTAATTAAATTAAAAAGGCATTTTAAATTAAATTTTAATTAGATTAAAAAGGCATTTTAAAGAGGAGACTTTGTACTATCACATGCTTTTTATCCGATTGCGTTACGACACTTGACTCTCGCCATGTACCGTGGCAAACTCGGACAAATATTTTTCAACTTCGCATGCTCTTGCTTTGTCATCCGCCATTTTCAATATATTTTTCTCGCTACATTGAAATAAATCGATTCTTCAATTAGAGATTCCAAACTATATTTTCATTTTTTAAAGACCTTTCTATCTTTATTATTTACCAAGTTATGATTTGAAGTTTGGCAAATTTTTCCCACATTTTAAGTGTATCGCTTCTTTTTGGAGTGAGTGTATATACAGGATGTCCCATTTTATTTTTGACAGCGAAATATCTCGAAAAATATGGAAAATATGGAGAAATGACTCAGACAAAAGTTATATTATTTCAAGTGGGACATAGTGTAGGATATATACAGGGTGTTCATTTGAAAACTTTCCAGCTAATTATCTCAAAAACTATGAAAGATATTGAAAAA